TATTTACTGTGCACAATAAAACTTGGTCTCTGTCTTCAAGGGGTATACAGTCTAATGGGAAGTCCAGTCTAGGGCAATTAGCAAAGCAAAGAAGTGTAAGTCACAAGCCCCACCACATCTTGTGTTTTTATTCTTCTTCTTATCTTCCAACTAGGTAATATGTTTCTCATAAAGATGACTTACTTCTGTGATTTTGGTGGTGTCACCAAGTGTTTTGTCCCCAGAGTATAATGTGCTCGGTGTATTGATAGGGCATACAGAAGCAGAACACTGTTGTGCCATGCTGATGATGTATGACTTCGTAAACTTGCCAGGTAATTTATCAGGAAGAGAAAAGAGAGGGGCTGGGAAAGTGGCTCAGGGGTAGGGTGATTGCCTCACATGCATGAGGCCCTGGGTTTGATTCCTCAACACCACATAAACAGAAAAAACTAGGAGTGGTGCTATGGCTCAAGTGGCAGAGCACTAGCCTTGAGCTGAAGAGCTGAGGGACAGCGCCCAGGCCCAGAGTTTAAGCCCCATGACTGACAAAAGAAAAAACAAAATGACAAACGTGCTTGAGAATCATATAAAATTCTCATTCTGCCCCGTGCTAGCTCATTAACCTCTTTAAGATTTCGTTTTTTGTTTTTTTTTTTCATCAGCAGAAAAGGACTTAGTGGCATTTAATTCACAAAGTACCATGAGGATTAAATAGGCTATTTTGGTAACATCTAACAAACTACACAAATGCTAGTCCCTTTCCTCACCTCTCACTTCCTTCTTCTGAACATTTAGTTCATTGTTTTTATTTATTTTTAGTTTTGAGACACAGTCTTGCTATGTAGCCCAGGCTGGCTTCAAATTCACCATCTTCCTGTATCAGCCTCCTAAGAGTTGGGATTATAGGCATGTACCACTATCCAGTGTCATTCTTTTCCATCTGCCCCTACACCTTACTCCTTTCCATTTTCTTCTTTTTTTGGGGGGTCCGGTAGTGGGGCCTGAACTCTGGGCCTGGGCGCTGTCCCTCAGCTCTTCAGCTCAAGGCTAGTGCTCTACCACTTGAGCCACAGCGCCTCTTCTGGCTTTTGTCTTATGTGGTGCTGAGGAATCAAACCCAGGGTCTCGAGCATGTAAGGCAAGTGCTCTACCACTGAGCCACCTTCCCAGCCCCTCCTTTCCATTTTCTTCTCTTCCTTTTTTTCTTTTGTGCCATTTCTAGGGCTTGAACTCAGGGCTTCATGCTCTCACTTGGCTTTTTTACTCAAGGTGAGAGCTTTACCACTTGAGCCATACCTCCATTTGTGGCTTTTTGCTGTTTAATTGGAGATAAGAGTTTCACAGACTTTCTTGCCTCAGCTGACTTTGAACCTCTTTCTTCAGATGTCAGCCTCCTGAATAGTAAGAACAGCAAGAGAATGGTTCTCCTTTGTATTTTCTTAGCCTATCTCTCCACTGGTGCTTTTCTTAGCCAATGACAAGTATACTAAACCAAAAGCTAAAAATAGTCTCCCTCTCAATCCAGTTCTCCATTCCCTTAAGCTTTCTATTTCTCTTCATTCCTTGTCACTAAACTCTTTCAAAGAGTTGTCAACCAGCTAGGAAGAGTGGCACTTGACTATAATCTCAGTACTGAGAGACTAAGGCAAAGGGATCTTGAGTTTGAGGTCATCAAAGGACTACATAATGAGATCCTATCTCTTAATTTAAAGAGTTGTCAACTGTTCACAATCCAAGTTGTAACAAGGACTTTTAGCTCCACTCAGGGTGATAAAGAGGCGAGAATACATGTACAAAGTCTTCAAAGTGGAGAACAAATGGGTTCAGATCAGAAGCACGCTGACTACTTTTACTTCTAAATTTCTATACATTCTTTAACCAAATTTTTTTAATACTTTCCCTTCTAGAATCACCCTATCCTAAACATGGTCTTACTATGCAGCCCAGGTTGACCTAGAACTTGAGATCTTCCCTCCTCAGCCTCCCAAATACTGGGATTTCAGCCATGTTCCACTATCCTCTGACTCTAAAATTTCTTTCTCTCTTTTTCTTTGGTGCCAGGCTTGAGGCTAAACTCAGGGCCTGGGTGCTGTTTCCTAAGCTTCTTTTGCTAAAGACTGGTGCTTTACCACTTGTGCTACAGCTCCACTTCAGGGTGTGTGTGTGTGTGTGTGTGTGTGTGTGTGTGTGTGTGTGTGTGTGTGTGTGTGTGTGTGTGTGGTCAAGAGGCTTGAATCCAGCCTGGGCGCTGCCCCTCAGCTCTTCAGCTCAAGGCAAGCACTCAACCATTTGAGCCACAGCGCCACTTCTAGCTTTCTGGTGGTTTATTGGAGATAAGAGCCTCATGGACTTTCTTGCCTGGGCTGGCTTTGAACCTTAATCCTTAGATCTCAGTCTCCTGAGTAGCTAGGATTACAGGTGTGAGCTACCATTGCCTGGTTTCAAGCTTTTTTAAAGTAGTTTATTGGAGATGAAGCTCAGGTCTGGGCACTAGTGGTTCATGCCTATAATTGTAACTACTCAAGAGGCTGAAATGTCTGAGGGTCATGGTTCAAAGACAATCCAGATAGGAAAGTCCATGAAACTCTTCTTTTCAATTAACTGCCAAACAGGGGCTGGGAAGGTGGCTCAGTGGTAGAGTGCTTGCCTTGCATGCATGAGGCCCTGGGTTTGATTCCTTGGTACCATATAAGCAAAAAGAAAAAAGCCAGAAGTGGCGCTGTGGCTCAAGAGCTAGAGCACTAGCCTTGAGCTGAAGAGCTGAGGGACAGTGCCCAGGCCCAGAGTTCAGGCCCCACAACCTGACCCCCCCCAAAAAAAAAACCAAACCAATTAACCACCAAACAGCTGGAAGTAGAGGTGTGGTTTAAGGGGCAGAACATGAGCAAAAAAGCTCAGTGACAGCTCCCAGGCCCTGGGTTCAAGCTCCAGGATTGGAGCACATGTGTACGTGTGTCCACATATACCTCACAGACTTTCCCGCCAGGCTAGCTTTGAACTGAGATCTTCAGATCTCAGCCTCCTGAGAAGCTAGGATTACAGGCATGAGCCATTGGTACCTGGTAAACCCGAGCTCTTTTGCCACAACTGAAACACTTGAACTTAGGGCCTTGAACTCTTGCTCTGCTTTTTTTTTTTTTGTCGGTTGTGGGGCTTGAACTCTGGGCCTGGGCGCTGTCCCTCAGCTCTTCAACTCAAGGCAAACACTCTACCACTTGAGCCACAGCACCACTTCTGGTTTTTTGGTGGCTTATTGGAGATAAGAAGCTCATGAACTTCTGCCCAAGCTGGCTTTGAACCGAGATCTTCAGATCTCAGCCTCCTAAGTAGCTAGGATTACAGGCGTAAGCCACCAGTGCCTGGTTATTACTCTGCCTTTTTTATTTATGGCTAGTGCTCTGCCAGTTGAGCCATGTCTCCATTTCTAGCTTTTTGCTGGTTAACTGGAGATAGGAATCTCTTGAGACTTGTCTACTCTTGGATTTGCAGATCTTAGCCTCTTGAGTAGCTAGGATTCTATGCATGAGCCACACCAGCACCTTGCTTAAGCATAAACGTTTTAAAGTCTGTCATATCCTGGACTTTTTTCCTTCTTCAGTTCTCAGACAACCTATGCTCCAGACATACAAAACAAGTCATAGCTTCTGGTGAGTGCCACGGATTAGGTTTATTCCATGTGTTATTTTTAGGTTATTCCCGTCTTCTGGAAAGTGCTTCATCCCCATCTCTACTAGAGACTTTAATCTACCCTTGCAAGTCTTTGTTTTCTCCACTGTCAAAGTGAATCCAAGCTTCTTTAAACCTCCATCAAGGCTAACGGACTTTATTGGTATTATCATTAGCTATGCTTAAATTCTTCTCCCTGACCAGGTTGTAAGATTTTTCTTTTTTGGTAGTCCTACAGTTTGCCTTTATGGCCTCAGGTTTGCACTTGAGAGACACTCCCAGCCCTTTTTTTGCACTAGTTTTTTTTTTTTTTTGGTCCATTGTGGGGCTTCAACTCTTTGCCAGGGCACTGTCCCTCAGCTCTTCAGCTCAAGGCGAGTGCTCTACCACTTCAGTTACAGCGCCACTTCCGGTTTTCTGGTGGTTAATTGGAGATAAGAGTCTCATAGTCTTTTCTGCCTGGGCTGGCTTTGAACTGTGATCCTCAGATCTCAGCCTCCTAAGTAACTAGGATTACAGGCCTGAGCCACCTGCTCAGCTTCACTACTGTTTTAGCATTTGCCCTGGACAGTCAGAGATTAAGATCTTCCTAACTCTGCCTCCTAAGCAGCTGAGTTAACAGCTGTGCACTACTGTAAGATTCTTGATAGCAAATACTTTTGCTTCCTTCAAGAACTTCCCCTTTATGTTTGCTTCTCTGTAACTGCTACACCACTTTGTAGGGTTGATCCTCTAGTAATTCAGTGCAGTCCTGACCCCTGCTGGTCACAGGTGGTTCAGCAGCCTGGCTCTAGTAACTTTCTTTCTTCAAGTATTAAAGGCTGGGACAATCTGTATCAGGCAAAAGAAGATGCCTGCAGTTATGTTGCCTCTCTGAAAAACTCTTCAGGCTTCACAAATTTCCCCACTGGATCTGAATGCAGCCATTTGGACTTTGCTTCTTTCTCAGTATCTCAGAAATAGGATTTCAAGGGGAGGGAAGGGATGGTAGGGGAAAAATAAAGGAGGAGGTTAACAATGTTCGATAGGAAATGTACTCATTACCTTAGTCATGTGACTGTAACTCCTCTGTACAGTATCTTTACAATAAGAAATATATACTGAAAAAAATTGGATTTCAAGGAGTTAAGGCAGCAAGGAAAAAGAAAAGGTCAGCAGAAATTGAGGGAGGTGGGGATGTACAGCTCCTCCACCCCACCTCAAAGAGTCAAGTCCACTCCTCACAGAATTCTATTCCTTTTGACCTTTGTCAATCAAAAGGTTGTTCTTGGGCCATAGGCCTTCTTGGGGAGTGATGAACCGGAGGTTGGGTAGAACAGGTGGGCGGGGCCTGAGGGGTGGAGTTAGGCCAAAGTGCTTCTCAGAAGCTTCTCCATTCTGTCAGCTCTCGGGGAACATCCAAGGCAAGCAAGACTGGCACCCAGGACATACCAGGTGAGGGATTGGCAATGATTGACAGAAGGGTAAGCCTCCGGGTGATAGAGGCAGAAAGGTCCCCAGCTTTTTAAGCCTGAGATTTCTTTCCATATTGTGAAACGCTTACCTGTAGAAATCTTGGGTCTGCTCAAGCAAAAGTAGCCTCTGCAATAAAGATATGACTTGGGATAGAGGAGGGGGTAGGGCTGCAGGGACAGGGGTGGACATGAGCGTGTGACAGAGGCCTTGAGATACAAAAGAAGTCTTAAGAGACATGAAAGCGGATGAGTCAGGTCCAGGGAGAGAACACCACCATTGGAAAGTCCCAGACAAGAGAAAGGAGGCCATAACAAGGAGACTGAGAAGGGCAACAGGGCCAGTTTGAGAGGGCAGCAGGGCCAATGGAGAGCTGAGTAACAGGAAGGCCAGGGAGGAAGGAAGGCTTCACGGAGCAATGGCCTCTTCCGGCTGTGAAGCATGGCCCAGGTAAGCGGGAAACACATCAAAAATGTGGGTTCCCAGTAGAATGGTTCAACTGGGGAAGGATCCCCTCTGCCCCCCGTTGCCCACCTCCTCTGTTTCTTCAGACTCCTATTTTTCATTTAGGGGAGAGGGTGAGGCTGTTCCTCCCTGCGGTCATAGCCACATCCTGCAGAGCAGGGGAGGGGGAAGTAAGAAGCAAAACAAGTAGAACCACGGGGAGCGAACCCTGGACACGCGGCAGATAGGCAGAGGGTCCCAGGCCAGCCAAGCAGACCTTACACCTTAGTACGGTCTGTTTTCTGCACTTCTTCCCTGCTTCAACCCACTGGCTGCATTCCAGAAGGTTCTTTGAATTATTTGGTTGGAACCCTATTTTATCATTTACTAGTGATTTCAGCCAACTTGCTTGCTTTCTCTTAGCTTCAGTTTTCTCATTGCAAAATAAGGAATACACCTACCTTGTGGGAAGGCTGAGGTGGTTCACATAGAGCGCTTGGTATATAGGCTCTCAGGAAAGTTTCATTATTCTTACTAGGAGTACTGGGAGTACTTTATCATCATTTCTTTCAAGACCATGAAGCATACCAGCTGACATGAGCTTTTGGAGTCAGAAAAGGCTGTGTTTGGTATTCATTAGGTAAATAATTTCACATAAGCCTCAGTTTGCTCAGCTGGAAACCAGAGAGTAATACCTATAACTCCTAGAGAATATAGTTCTCCAAAATGGCATCTGGAGGCTGAGAATGTGGCTTAGGGGTAGAGTGCTCACCTAGCATGCATGAAGCCCTGGGTTTGATTCAAGTGGTAGAGTGCTAGCCTTGAGCAAAAGAGGCTTAGGGACAGTGCCCAGACCCTGAGTTCAAGCCCTAGGACTGGCAAAAAAAAAAAAGGCATCTGTGAAGCTGGGGCTGGTGGCTCATGCCGTAATCCAAGCTACTCAGGAGGCTGGGAGCTGAGGATAGAGATTCAAAGCCAGTCCCAGCAGGTAAGTCTGAGAGACTTTTATCTCTAATTAACCAGCAAAACGCCAGAAGTGGAGGTGTGGCTTAAATGGTAGAGTGTCGGCCTTGAGAAAAAGTCAAGTGAGAATGCAAGGGTCTGAATTCGGACCCCAGTCCTGGCATGCATTCGGCAGCTGTGAGAACTACCAGCCAAGGAAACATACCTTCTCCATTCTAGTGGCAATAAGGTACCTGGCCTAAGACTTAACTGGCTTGAACTTAGGGCCTGGGCGCTGTCCCTGAGCTCTTTCACTCAAGGCTAGCCACTCTACTGCTTTGAGCCACAGCACCACTTCTGATTTTCTGGTGGTTAATTGGAGATAAGAGTCTCACAGGGACTTTCCTGCCCCGGCTGGCTTTGAAGGGCAATCCTCAGATCTCAGCCTCCTGAGTAGCTAGGATTACAGGCCTGAACTACTGGCACCCGGCTTCATTTCTCTTCCTAAGGAAGCCTGTGGCCTCTCTTCTAGTGACTGACCACATACCATCGGCCCAAGCACTATGGAGTCCTTCAGTTCAAGGAATCTGGCACTGCAAGCGGAGAAGAAACTACTGAGTAAGATGGCAGGCCGGTCTGTGGTGCATCTCTTCATCGACGAGACGAGTAGCGAGGTCCTGGACGAGCTGTACCGGGTGTCTAAGGAGTACACGCACAGCCGGCCGCAGGCTCAGCGGGTCATCAAGGACCTGATCAAGGTAGCTGTCAAAGTGGCCGTGCTCCACCGCAACGCCTGCTTTGCTCCCAGTGAGCTGGCCCTGGCCGAGCGCTTTCGCCAGAAGCTTCGGCAGGGTGCCATGACGGCGCTTAGCTTTGGGGAGGTGGACTTCACCTTCGAGGCTGCGGTGCTGGCCGGCCTGCTCACCGAATGCCGAGACGTGCTGCTGGAGCTGGTGGCCAACCACCTGACGGCCAAGTCCCACGGCCGCATCCGCCACGTGTTCGATCACTTCTCTGACCCGGGCCTGCTCACCGCCTTGTACGGGCCTGACTTCACCCAGCACCTGGGCAAGATCTGCGATGGGCTCCGGAAGCTGCTGGACGAGGGCAAGCTCTGAGCGCCGGCCCCAGCGCCGGACCTTGGCTAAAGGGCTGCACTGGGATGACCACAGGCCGCGGGCTTTCTGACCCTGCTCCACCGGCCTGGCTTTGGGTCCTCAGGCTTCACCCTCACCCCGCCCTCCCCCGGGCTGCTGGGGCAGGAGCCGCGCCGAGCCGGGTCAGGCCTCTCCTCCAGCCTCAGCACAGGAAATGGAGCTGCCTGAAAAAGGCGAAGTGAAACTTGGATCTCTCTCCGTCTCCCAGGAAGGATGCCTAAAACAGGAAATCCGTGTCCTTACAGCCCGAGAAAACAGGGGATAGCCCATAGAGCCCTGTGAGGATACTGAAGACTGAAGGGGGGTGCTGGTGGCCCTTCGAGACAAGGTAGACTTCTAGTTCTAGGCAGAGTTTTGGATAGCTCCCGGAGGCTCTGTTTCAGAATGAAGGGAGAAGAGGCCAGGCAAGAGAGATTCTCACCAGGGAAATAAAGCTACTAAAACATGCATAGGGCTCAGTGTTTAATCTCTCCAGCTTCTTGGACCTTAGGATCATTGCAACGGAAAGGAGGTATACATACACCACCCATCAAACCTCTCACCATTTCCACACAGGACACTGAGGCATATTTCCAGTATTCTGAGGTTCTCTTGACTACTATTTCTGTTTAAGACACACACACACACACACACACACACACACACACACAAGCTGTACTGCAGATCAGTGCTACACATTGCAAATAAATATGCAGTGAGAAGCAAGGCCTAGACACGCTCTGATAGGAAGGGGGTGTTGTTACCAAGAGACTCCTACAACTATCCTCCTCTTCAAGCCCCAAGGCATTTATTTCCCATCCCTCAGCAACCCACAGGCTAGCAGGGGGAACTGGGGGAACAGAGCTCAGGTCCTTATGCGACTGCTTTTTCTCAGAGCAGGAATTGTGAAAAAGTGCTCGGTAATTGGTTAGGATGGTCAAGACAGCCCAAATCTTTTACTTTGACACTGAGAAAAAGACGCAGTAGAGTTCACCATTCTGTGCAGCGAGGCTAGATCACTGATTCCTCCGCCCTGGCTGACAACTAAGGTTAAGGAGGCAGGGAGGTGAGGAGCTGGCAATCTCAGACTCAATGTTCCTGGGGTCCCCCTCAGCCTGGAGCTCTAGAAGTCCCCAGTATTAGCTGAGTGGGAAGGAATTAGATACAGCAAATAAATAGTACTTCAAGATAGCACCAAATAAGTTAGGTAACTTAGTTGGAGATGGGGAGAAAGTTGAAGTTTCCTTGCTCTAAAGGCAGGAAATGGTAAGGAGACAGGGATGGGGGGGGAGGAGGGGAGGGTGGTGGTGGGGTGGTAAAAGAGCCTTCTGAATCTAAAAGACAACTCTAGATTCAGCTCCCGAAATGGGAAGGAGTCTAGTCCCCATCTCCTATTCCTATCAAAACAATAACAACAACAATAATAATTGCCCCAGATGGTGGAATTCTTGATGGACAAGAAAGCTGGGGAAGATGGCTGGAGTAGAGGGAGGCAGGCAGCGAGGCCGGGTTCCTGAGCCTCACCTCAGGCTCTTCTCCCCTCAAATTGCTTCTGTAATACCCTGCTTCTCTCAGTCTGCTCTGGGGACATCAGAGCTTGAAAATTTCATCTTCCTGCTCTCGTAGTGATTGGGTCCGAGAGGTCCGGGTCAGCGGCACCGGACCTAGGACTGCTCGTTGCTGCATCCGAGGGGAGCTCTGGTGGACAGCTGCATGCTCCCCAGGCACCCTGTAAGGAAAGGGGGGAAAAGGTGACAGATCAAGGCAAGAATCTGAGAATGGGCCAAGGGAAGAGGTTCACAGAAGCTGTCTTCCTCTCTTGATGCATGAACTGATTGCTCTAAAATGGAGTATCAATAGCTACATGCTGGTGGCTCACACTTCCAATAATCTTAGCTGCTCTCCCAGCAGAGATCCAGAGGATTGCAGTTCAGCAATCCTGAGAAATCCTGGGTAGAAAAAAATCCATAGAGGCCTGGGAAGGTGGCTCAGTGGAAGAGCGCTTGCCTTGCATGCATGAGGCCCTGGGTTCGATTCCTCAGCACCACATAAGCAAAAAAAGAAAAAAGCCAGAAGTGGCGCTGTGGCTCAAGTGGTAGAGCGCTAGCCTTGAGCTGAAGAGCTGAGGGACAGCGCCCAGGCCCTGAATTCAGGCCCCACGACCAGACTCCCCCCCACCAAAAAAAAAAAAAGAAAAAGAAAAAATCCATAGAGAGGGGTTGGGAAGGTGGCTCAGTGGTAAAGTATGCACTTGTATGCACAAGTCCCTGGGTTCCATTCCTCAGCACCACATAAGCAGAAAACGCCAGAAGTGGCATTGTGGCTCAAGTACAGGATGCTCACCTTGAGCTGAAGAGCTGAGGGACAGCTCCCAGGCCCAGAGTTCAGGCCCCATGACCAACAAAAAAAAAAAAAAGAAAGAAAGAAAAAAAGAAAAATCCACAAAGCTACATTGCCAAAATAACCAGCAAAAATGCTGGGCTCAGGGCATGGTTCAAGTGTTTGAGTGCCTATAGATGATCACAGCATGAAGAAGGGTCAACTGTTTTACTCCAGTAAGAAATGGAACCTAGTTTCCTACCACCTCAACCCATTCAAGCAGCCACTGGCTTTGGCCCCAATGTCTTGGAGCCATCTAGAGAAAATGTACGCCGCTTGCTTCTGCTGGCACTGTGTTCCTTACTTGTATTTGAGGTTTGGGTGAGATGGAGGAGACTATGGAGGAACTGTTAAGGAACCACTCGAGACTCACCCACTCTCCCCTTTTCTCAGCTTCTGGGCAGCAGCCTTCTTTGAAAGGCTGATCTGTAAATCAAGCTTCTTAAGGAAATCAGAGGCAGAGAGGTCATGGACAGGTGGGGGTGATTCGTGGCCAGGTGTAGAGGGCACTTCACCATTGGCACGTCCAGAACTTGTCTCTCGTTTCTTCCTCTCAGTTGAGTGTGAACGAGCTTCAGCCTTCCTTGAATGTACCTCTTCCTCTCCATCTTTCTCTTCCTCAGAATCCAAGCTGTTGAACAGGTCTCTGGGCTCTGTCAGTATGGGAATGTAGATGGTTTTCTTTAGGAAGATGGAGTCATTCGTATAAAGGCGGTTTGCACGTTTAATCTGTTCCATCTTAAAAAAAAAAAGTCACCAAAATTAATGATCAATCTTATCTACCATCTTAAGCTTTTCAAAGTCATTGTACAAGCCAAGTACCAGTGGCTCACGCCTGTAGTCTTAGCTTCTCAGGAGGTGAGATCTGAGGAAAACTGAAGCCAGCCCAGGCAGTTAAGCCCATGAGATTCTTAGTTCCAATTAACTACCAAAAAGCCATAAGTGGAACTGTGGATCAAGTGGTAGAGCACCAGCCTTGATTGAAAAGCTAAGACACAATGCCCAGTTTTGGGTTCAAGCCCTAGGACCAGCATAAAACAAATGACTAGGACTAGGCTAGAAGTTAAGGCTCAAGTGACAGAGTAATTTCTAGCAAGCATGAGTCTGAGTTCAAATCTCAGTACAATAACAGCAAAAAAAGGATAACTATCTTACAAATAAAAAGTTATATTGCCTAGTCTTATGGCCCTTTTATGTTTTTCAAATTACTGAGACAAAAGCTTTTACTTAAAGCCTGAAATTTAAGGTCTTTAAAATGAAAGCTGAGGGGCTGGGAAGGTGGCTCAGTGGTAGAGCGCTTGCCTTGCATGCATGAGGCCCTGGGTTTGATTCCCCAGCACCACATAAGCAAAAAGAAAAAAAAAAGCCAGAAGTGGTGTTGTGGCTCAAGAGATAGAGCACTAGCCTTGAGCAAAAGAAGCTCAGGG